TATATATATATCATGAATTTAATATATATATATATAAACATAGGGGTGTAGGTGTTCTTTTGAATTAATATTTTAAAATATACATATATATAATTTATATATCTATATATAATTTATTTATACATACTGAACTGGGATACAGGCCAGAGTTGCAAGGGAAGGGCAGTGAGAGGATTCACCAGAATCAAAGTGTAGAGCAAAACACACAGATTGATTAAGTACACTGCTGAGGGGAGCAGGGGGTGAGACAGGAGAGGTCTGCTGCGCCATGTGGTCACCTCCCGGGAGGGCATCAAACTTGCACCAAAGCTGCAGTGGCCAGCGTTGTCGTGCTGTGCTTTAACCTGCTGCTTCCATCAGGGAGAGCCTTGAATTAACATTTTTGTATCCTTTGGGTACATACCTTGGAGTGGATTGCTAAATTATATGGAAGCTAATGAAGCTGAATAAATGTTTATTTTCTCCCTATTATTTGTTGTGGGTTCTTTTGTCTGTCAAGTACTCTATACTACCTAGAAATTTAAGTATGCAATATTTGTTAATTGTCATATATTAATCATTACTTTAGTCAGTTAGCTAATTCTCTTGCTTTTTTTTTCAACATTTCTCTACAAAATTAATTTATTCCAATTAAGTGTCATGAATCTTAGTGGATATTATATATTTAGGGTCTTTAATCTTCAATGGGGTAATTTATCATTGAAAAGCCAATAGAGAGTTTTTGACACATGTTTTTTGTTTTGTTTTTTGGTTATATCATTGTTTTAAAACTACATACTGCTTTTAAAAAATGCGTATGTTTTAGGTGTACAGATTTTCACATCTTCAAAAGTTTATCATATGTATCATCATCACCAGCATCTCAGTAATTCTCATCAAAATCCATTGGGCACCTCCCCTCTTTGTTCCCACTCCCACCTTTTCCTAAGACAACTTCAGTTCTACAGTTAAATTTCAGGGTTTTGTTTTAGTTTGCTTTTGAATGTCCCTTGTTTCATTTCTTTATATTCAACATTTAAGTGAAATCAACTGATATTTATTTTTCTCCTTCATTATTTTTTATAGTAACAGTTTATTTTTACATCATTTTGTACATTTTTTTCATCTCAATTGTAATCCCCGTGGGTTTCCCAGCACCGAGTCACCCGTGTGCCATCACCATAGTCCCGTGCACTTCCTTCCTCCCTTTCATTATTTTAACTTTGTATTAGTTAACTATTCTTTATTTTTTTGACATTTATAGGATTTCTCTTCTCAGATGTGTTCATACCATAATTCCACCACCAAATTGCTCGTAGACATCAACCAAGCTCTAACACTCTCTCCTCTCCCCATATTAACCCCTCCTTTTCCTACCACTCACCAGTTTCTAAATCTACACTTCACTATCAAGGTCAGTCTTATAGTGTGTCTTTATATAATCCTTTGCTTAGTTTCACTGGATTTCACATATAAGTAAGAACATCCAATATTTGTCTTTCTCCTTCTGGCTCACTTCACTTAGAATACTGCAGTCCATGGCTAAACTATATTATCATAAATGTCATGAGTTTATCATTTTGGAATATTGAATAGCATTCCTTCTGTATATATGTCACATCTTCTTGGTCCATTAATCTATTTGGGGACATTAGGCTGTTTCTTAATGTTGGCTATTATATATAGTGCTTCAGTAAGAATGGGAGTGCAAGCTCCCTTCTGAATTGATATTTTTTTTATTCTTTGTATAAATACATAAGAGTAAAATTCCTCAGTTATATGGTAGGTCCATTTTCAATCTTTTGAGGAATCAACACAATTCTGACAATAGGAAAATAATCAGGCTATATTCACATAGTGTAAGTTCAAGCCCCACTCCAGAGGTGTCCCACATGGTTCAACAGACCTCTCACGACATACCTGATGCTCCCTTCAGCAGTGTAGATTGTCAATCTGCCTGTTCTGCTCCATCTCTTGTCTCTGGTGAATCCTCTCACTGTCCTGTACCTCTGGCCTGTATCCCCCATACTGTATGCATAAATAACACTTTAGAAAAAAAAATTGATGAACCACAGAAATTTAACTGTAGTAAATAATCAAACAAAATATTTTCATAAGAGAATCCTACAGAATTAATACCATAGAAATGAAATTACATGCACCGAACACATTTATTACAGTATAAGGAGTACAGAAAGTTCTTGTTCTATGTGCCAAGGCCAAATTTGAAGATAAAGTATAGGCTTTATATGATCACTCAAGCTGTTGATTTTATTTTTGCTAAATTGTTACTTCATAAAAATATCTTTGTGTTTAAAACCCATAGTTCTTTGTTTTCATATATGATAATTTGTCATTAAATATTTAAATTCAGGAAAATTAGTCATAAATAAATGAACGAAAAGTCATTAGGTATTATATTTTCTTCATATACAATTTATCAAAAGTCTAAACACTATTAAATTATATTTTAGTTTACCTTTATATATCTTTACTTTACCATTTGTTTATTTATTTATTTATGCAAAATAGAACTGAGGTGTAGGACAGAGGTGTGGAGAGCAGAGGAGGGAATGGTGAGATGATTCACCAGGGACAGAGTGAGAGGTAGAACAGGCAAATCTACTGAAATAATCTTCTATGAGGAACAGTGGGCAATATAGGAGAAGTCTACTGAGCCATGTGGGTTAGCTCCCTGGCTAGGGATCAAATTCAGGCTGCAGTCATGATATCCTAAGAGTGCTAAGACTTAACCTTTATGTCACATACCACTAAATTATTATGGACTAATTGATCATTGCCTTTTAAATCTATGGATTTTTTTTATTCTGTCTTTAAAGTATGAGAGAAATTTTCTGCTGATAAAATAATACCCCAAAAAATCAAATTCTACCTAAAATAAATGTTAATTTCAACAAGCAATAAGAAGTCCTCTGTCTTGCCTCCAACATGTCACAATAATAATTCCAGAATGGAAGTGGTCTCCGATGAGCTATCTTTTCAAAAAATAGCAGACTTCACTCTCAGTTTGTATATTATATCTGGAGATTCTTTCTTGATGTTAACAATGCTTTTCCCGCCTTCAAGCAGGGGCTGCAATCTCCTTTACAGAAAGTCCAGCTCTATTTATATTTAAGATAATCTTGGCCTGGCTACAATCTCCTTTACAGAAAGTTCAGCTCTGTTTATATTTAAGATAATCTTGGCCTTGGTTCAAATTCTGCTCAAGTTGAGTTGGTATCCAGGGGATAAAATTGGAATTAGCCCCTAGGGTTAGGGTAGCTTATTGGGTTTTATGTCTCTTGAGAACATTTTTAATTCTTTAAACTCTACCTTGAATGTCATTCCTTAATAAAACACCACAGACTTCACTCTCAGTTTGTACATTATAGCTGGATATTCTTTCTTGATGTTAAGAATGATTTGTCCACCTTTAGGTAGGGGCTGCAATCTCTTTTACAGAAAGAAGTTTAGCTCTATAAGTCTCAACTGACTTGAATATAGCTCCAGGTTTCCTTAACAAAAACAATTAGTGTGACATTTAAGAAGTCAAAATCATAATATTAAAAAAAATCAAAGTTAACATGAGAAGACCATATCTAAAAGGTAAGACTATTTTATCCATGAGCTTTTCTAATTTGGAAATTTTCTCAGGTTATTGGTATTTTTTGATTTCTGTTGTTGCAATTTCAACACTAGTTCAATAACTATAATTTTTTGCTAGTGCATAGTTCTTCAATTTTTCAAAATAATTCATTATGATGCTGAGAATAGGAATCACTGCATTTATATCCATTGCTGATATTAAACGTGGTATCCATTTATCTATGCATTTATCTTGTGTGAATAGCATGATGCAAAAAAAAAAAAACCTGTATAATATAAATATTTTTGTTGTTTTCTAATGTGAGACCCCACAAACTACTGTAGAGAAGAAATAATTTAATTCCACCAAGCTTTCAAGTGACTATGGGAATGGGCAATATACAATTTATATCTGTTCTGACTATAACGTGCCTCTTTTGACACTGCTTTTTTAATTGGCATTATATTATAATTCTTTTGAATTACACCTGTAAATAGTAGAATGGGAAAATTCAGCCCAATATTTTGTTTGTTGTATGGGTAGAAATGACTAGTTCTTGGCATGATTGTGAAAATTATCAGTCTTTTATATTCCACTAACACTCTGTCTCTACTTGAATTATGACATCTATGAATATCAACAGTGGAATGATCTTATTTTTATAATTTTATTGAACATGTTACTGTTTTATAAGTCTGTTAAAGATGCTATTTAACCATGTGTATGTATATGTATATGTATATATATATATACTTTTCTAATCATCTTATATGCAAAATGATTAATGTTCTAAAGTCTCCTGAGAAAATAAGAATTATATTTGTTTTCTTTTCAGAGTAGGGAAATGGTTATAATGGGTTACTAATTAGACTATTATAGTGAATATGTGATGAAGGAGCCAAGGTATGAACATTTCCAGAGAGAAGAGGAGGGGAAGTGCAGGGTGTGGAGGGCTCAATGGATGGGGTATGCTTTAGTGATAGATGGGTTATGATAACATATACTGAAGAGTTGAATGCCTATGTCTTTAAATCAGATATAATTTTGTAATCCAATGCTAACCCAATAAAAATAATATTATATTATGTTCAGATATTTTCAGCATGGTTCAGATGATTTTAATCTATTGGCTCTCCCAAATTTTGAAAATATTACTTACAGTCAAAATAAGACTATACCACTAAACAATGCTACCTCAATAAAGAAAAACAATCAAAAAGAGATTACGTATCCATTTTTTCACAACTTTTATGGCATAAAACCAACATAATATCAGAAAATTAAGAAGGTTAATGTTTTATTTACATCTATGAAATAATTTTGTTTCATGATATTGAACAAAAAATGTAATTTCAATTATGGAGTTACATAACAGTCATTGTACATAAAGTATCTTACAGTGTTTCCTTTTGCCAAGCCCAGAGAAAGAGTGATCATGGCTAATCTCACTAAGTCGATAACTGAATTTATCCTCATGGGATTTACAGACATCTGGGAGCAGCAAGTCCTTCATGCGGTGATGTTTTTACTCATTTACCTGACAGCTCTGGTTGGCAACCTTCTTATTGTTCTTCTTACCACCTTGGATGAGCACCTTCATGGTCCCATGCATTTCTTTCTGAGGACACTATCATTTTTAGATGTCTGTTTCATCTCTGTCACAGTTCCCAAGTCCATCATACAGTCTTTGACACAAAATAATTCTATATCTTTCATGGGGTGTGTGGCCCAAGTCTTTTTTGTGGTTTTATTTGCTTGCACAGAGCTGGCCTTGCTCACAGTGATGTCCTATGACCGATATGTGGCCATTTGCCGCCCCCTACATTATCAGCTCATCATGAGGAAAAGTGCCTGTGGGCAGATGGTGGCTGCTTCATGGCTCAGTGGGGTTGTCTCTGGGTTCTTAAATACATCTGTGACATTCTCATTACCATTCTGTGAGTCAAATTTTGTCCATCAATTCTTCTGTGAGATCCCCTCATTACTCAAGCTCTCTTGCTCAGAGAAGTACCTTGCGGAGATTGGAGCTATAATTGTCACAACATCATTGGGTATTATATGTTTCATTTCCATCCTGGTTTCTTATATCCACATCTTCTCCACAGTTCTGAGAATTCCCTCAGTGGAAGGAAGGTCAAAGGCCTTCTCAACTTGTATTCCTCATCTTGTGGTTGTTACAATTTTCCTTAATACTGGATCTATTGCTTATCTAAAGCCTGTGGCAGAGTCCCCCACTCTTTGGAATCTGATGGTCTCTGTCTTCTATACAGTTGTGCCTCCAGCCCTGAATCCTATCATTTATAGTCTGAAGAACAAGGATATGAAAGCTGCCTTCTGGAAAATGTTGAGAAAGACTGCCTTCATATATTAACAACAACAAAATAAGCATCACAGCTACATCATTCAGTTCAGATAAGCATGGAGTTACTTCAGTTAATATTAATAAATTCCCTACTACTTAAATAAGATAAAATGTATAATTTTATGAACACATGTAATTCATACTTGTCCCATATTACTTTAAAATAAACTTAAAATATGTAAAATAAGGCCCTCCCTGGTGGTGCAGTGGGTTCAAGCACAGCACTAAGAAGCTAAAGCCACTTCAGCATGAGTTCAATCCCCACCCCGAGGTGATCCACAGGGCGAGGCAGACCTCTCCTGACCCGCCCCTTGCTCCCCTCAGCAGCATACTTCATCAGTCGGCTTGTTCTGCTCCCCACTCTGTCTCTGGTGAATCTTCTCACCGCCCCTGCACCTCTGGCCTTTATCCAAGTTCTGTATGCACAAATAAATATTAATATATATATATATATATATATATATATACATATATACACACAAAATAAGATTTCTTCATTTCTTCAAAGCTTGAGGCATAAATAACTAAAAATGTGCATAGAAGCAACTAATTTCCTTTTATTTATGTACATGTGCACAAGCAGATTTATTTTATAGATGACTTTTCCTGCTTGATCTTTTATTCATCATAATTTATGTGAGATATAGTCATGTCATATGACATTTTGGTGGGCCTTTTAATACTCTAGAGCTTTTTAAATTTCAAATTATTTCAGTGAATATTCTTCATATCTCCGATGGACAAAGAAATAAAGTTGGTGAATAACATTAAAATTTTTCATTTATATGATGATGTATGTGTACTTCATAGTTGATATATTGGTTTTGATTTTGAAGAATAATTACTAAAAATGCATTTTATGAGAGTTTTAATTTATTTATGCTTACAAGAACTGGGGCATGAGCCAGAGGTACAGGGACTGAGAAGATCCATCAGAAATGAGTAGGGAGCAAAATAGGTGGATCTACTGAAATAAACTAACAGGAGCAACAGGAGAGTCAGAAAAGTCTGCTGCATCACGTGGGTGAGCTCCCTGGCTGGGGATAGCACAGGCTGGTGATCACTTGATAGGTCCTGTACCACAATGGATATTTGTATATTCACATAAATATTTCATATATTCAAGATTTTTTGAAACTATTTCCACCTTTTTTGGTAAAAGGAAAGCAAGTTATTGTGACATTACCTTGAAATCTAATAGGTTCCTAATCTTTCATCCTTGATTGATGAAATGAATCTTCCTTAAATTCATTTGCTGTGGTATTTGCTCACATTTTTGGTTGGTTGTTTTACTTATTTTAATATCTCTTGTTTTCAAAATCATATGCCATCACTCACCAATTGATTGCTTAATTGAAAACCAGGAGCATTTAGAGAGACAATAAGTGTAGAGTATAAGAATATCTTTGTAAATATGATTTTCAATGAATATATTTTTTCATTTACATTCAAATTTAAGTGGTATTGGAGGTGAGGGTATAATGGCTTGGCTAAATATATATATATAAATATACGTGTATACACACACACACACACACACACATATATATATATATATATTCATAAGTTTTGATCCAAATACTATACATATGCTGTAGTAATTTTTATACTGTCAGATATATTATTGACTCCTTTTCTGGATATTTCATCATATGTAATTCACAATACAAAACTCTATCCAAAGCAAATATAACCTAATTATTAAAAGATGAACCCTCTATAATCTTAAGAAAAAGCATGTAATAGAAGTAACTTCTAGTACGCATTTAATATTATAAATTGATTAGTAATTATAGTTTCCCCTTACATTTTTAGTGGTATCACAAAACAAAAATGCGATACTCTCAGTCAAGAGCCCACAAGTTACATTTAAGGAGTAGGCTATAGGGAATATGTGTGGGCTAACTGAAATAAATACCCACCACCAGGTACATTTACTCAGAGAAAGAATTTGAACAATAGCAGGATTTAACACAGATAGATTGCCACTCAGGAATTGGTAATGGGGGGCTATTTATACTTACATGTAGTTCACCTATAGTGTTAAGGGAAATGTCAAAATATTGGATTTTTTCCTACTTTGAAGCAGACTTATCTTACTTGAGGAAACTTTCCATGCTCTGTTATGTTATTTCTCTTCTGGTCACAGTATCTACAAGTGTCTGTGTCAGTAGGGGAGTGGCTGGGGGGAGGTACCCCTAGATGAATGATTTGCAGAGTGCAAGTTTACTTTGTGTCTTGTCCTATTTTCATTTGAAGTTTCTTTCAAAATATTCTGTCAGCTATAATTCAGATTTTTTCTCATTACAATTTACTTTATAATTATTTCACCAATAACCTGTTTAATTCCAGTGAGCAAAAGAGATTAAATTGTTGCTTTTACATAAACATCCTACTTAGCCACTCAATATTATTGGAAGACATTTTCTAAAGCCTGAAAATATCTTAGAGTTTTTTTCTTTTACTATGTTTGTTTGCATGATAGAAGTATAATCCTAATGAGTTGTAGTGTAACTATTTCATGTAGGGAATTTTATAACACACTGACCTACTTTTGACCCTCAAGATTACTGTGAAATATTTATTGATAGGTTCCTCTCTGCATCAACCTGGTCAGTTTTACTATATAGTTATTTAACGTCTAAATATATCACTAACATAGATACAACTTTATATAAATAAAGTAAGCCTGGATCATATGTATTCAAAAATTATCTAATTTGTCTATGAATAGTTTTCATTTTGTTTGGGCTAATTGTCATCTTGGTTTCAATGTTTGTTTTCTATAATTATCTAACACCTAAAAACAGAGCAACATATCTCATAGTCAACTTCAGTTTTATTGTATTTACTGGGAAAATAAATGGCCTACTGTGGATAAAAAATGTGCAAGAGATAAAGAAATCAAAAGGACAATGGTAAAGAGAGATTCTTTTTTTATATGAATGTAACAGTAGGATAATGAGAAAGATAATTTGCTGGGGAAGTGACACTACTAGGTGTCTCCTTAATTTTGTTGACTAAAAAAATCAGTGAAAAAGTCCTCTGGGAAAACTTAAAAAAGAATGAAACCTATATCATGGGAGTTCCAGAAGAAAAGAGAAAGTCATAATGAATTTATTTAAATAAACAATCACCGAAAACCTTCTCACTCTGGGAAATGAAACACATGTTTCAATTCAAAATACTCAAGAATTCCAAGCAAAAATAACATAACACACACAGCACATTACAATTAAGTTGTTGGAAAGCAATATCAAAGGCAGATAATTGAACACATCAAGAGTAAAAAAGTAACCTATAAGGAAACACAAATCAAACCATCAGCATATTCTAGAGTAGAGACACAAAAGAATGCTGTATAAATGGGTGAAATTTCTTTGTAAATTGCATATGATGCACATCACATTCTGGCTTAATGTTTATTCCATAACAAAACAAAAGATTACTTTCTCATATGTAAAAGGTATTACATTAAGAATGGACTGGAATGAGATATTTAATTTACTTAAACAAAAGTGATTTCTAGCCAAGAATCCTCTATGTAGCAGAATTAGTATTCAAGACAGAGGAATATGGACTTTCACTGAAAAGAAAAGCTAATAGATTATATCAACACCAAACCACAAATAAAAGAAATCCTAATGGGATCATTATAAATAACATAACAATGGATAGTAACAGACACCTAAGTATTTAATACAGAGGTGGTGGAGAAAAATCAACACTGTTGCCCATCAGAACCAGAAAGAGAAAAGACATACAATAGGTCACAATAGTAATTTACAAGGCTCAATAAAACACTCAAATTAAAAATAATAGAAATAGGTGCTCCCTGGGAACACAAGAGGTTAAGTCTCGGCACTATGCAACTATCTGCAGCCACTGCACCATGGATTGAATCCCTGCCAGGGAGCTGACCCACATGGTGCTGCAGACATGTCCTGTCTCACCTGCTGCTCCTCTGCAGCTGTACATTTCAGTAGATCCCCCTGTTCTGATCCCTACTTTGTCTCTGGCGAATCTTTTCACCCCCTTCTCTGGCCTGTTCCCAGTTTTTATATGCTTAATAAATAAATCTTTAAAAAATAATATTAATTTAAGGCAAGGTGAAATGAACTTAAACAACACAATGAGAAGTCTTCACACACACATTTAAAAAAATATATAGAAAGAAAATATCCAAAATACAGCAAATGGTAGCAAGCCCATATTTCTTAACAAGCACCATCAATGAATGATCTGAACTACTAATCTGCACTTTGTTTCTGGTGAATCCTCTCACCTCTTACACATTTGGCCTGCAACCCAGTTTTTCTGTGTATAATTAAATCTTAAAATATAAAAAATAAATGGTCTGAACTAATGAGTCAAAAATGTAAAAATAAAGAGCAATGACAATTTTTAATCAAAATGATATCAGCTCCTTCATGGTGGCCTACAGGTTAACTCTCAATTCGGCTACCAAAGTGGCCTGAGTTTGATCCCCAGAAGAAAGCTAACCCACACAACATAGCAGAACACTTCTGTCATGCAGCTGCTCTCCTTATCAGTGTATTTCAGTAAATCTACCTGTTCTGCTCCCCACTCTGCCTCTGGTGACTCCTTTCACTCTCCTACTTCTGGTCTATATCCGGGTTCTTCTTTGCAAATGTCAATAAAATCTTTTAAAAAATGACATCAGAGTTCAATGATCAAGCTGTATACTCCTTGACTTGAGTCATAAGGGAAAAATTGTTACTTTACAAAAATATTTCTAAATGAAAAGCAAAGAAAAAAATGTAGAGAGAATTTTTTTTTAATTTCCAATCTTCTGTTTTAAAGAAACTTACCTTACCAACCAAGACAAACACACTTAGAATTAAAGACCAATAAATAGCCATACAAGTAATGGGCAAACAGCCAAATAAAAAAAATTAGAAACAACTATATTTATATCTATTATAATAGGTTACTATATGATAAGGATGATAAAAGATAGATAATTCTTATATTGTTATATAGTATAG